CCCTGTGAGGCCGAGAAGTGCTATTGTCTCCATTTTATAGATGGGGACAGAGGCACAAAAAGACCAAAGACAAGACTCACAAAGGAATTTAATCACGGTGATGCTGAGCATCATCCTACTTAACTGTTAGGGGCCCAGAAAAACATAGTGATTCGCAAAACCTGAGTTCCATATGTAGTCTCCCTTAACAATGGAAGTGGAAAGACAGGTGTCTCAGATTCAAGAAAGCCACATGCTAGGTGGTCCCTCACCTAAATTAGCCAACAGGAGGGGCCAACCTGAGGAGTGTGCTAAGCCCCTTCCTTTTCTTGGAGCTAGACACCTAAGTCTGGGCTTACAGGTAGGCACTTCCCTCTGTCTCAAAATCTCAGCTGCAAACCCTCTCTTGGCATTAGGTGCCTACGATCTTAAAACAAGGCTAGGTGAGTAGGAAGATGAGTTCCCTCATAATCTTCAGCCCAGTGGTTAGGGTACTCACCTAAAATATGGAAGGGCCCTGGCTCGAGTCCTTCCTCCACCTGATGAGGAGAAGAGTTTTAAACAGGGCACCCTTTAAAGCTGTTCCACTGTGAATTAAGTAATGAAAGAACCCATTGGGCCAGAGAGAGACAGCAAACAAGCATGAGACTGATGTTGTAGCACACTCACTAGGGAGTTTGGAGACACAAACTCCAGTTCCCTGCTCCAATGACTTTTTAAAAAATGTTTGTCTGCAATGGAACAGTTATAAGGGAGGTCCTCCTCCCTCTCCCACCCCTCTGGCCATTTTGTGTAAGTTTGCCAACAGGGGCCTGATTCAGTAAGCGTGCTCACAGCTCACCCAGCAGATCGGGCCCCCCAGGCAAGTTAGGTGGGTAAACACCTATTTTTTCCTAGTTTGTGCATCTCACTGGGCCTTAAGTGTCCAGACGCCTTGTGTGGGGCTGCAGTGCACATGCTCAGAGGCAGCAGCATAGGTGCCTAGGGAACTTTTACTGCAGGAATTTTGGTTTAAACAGTTGCAAGCTTCAGCAGCAGCTGAGCAGGGGGGTTGTGAATCCCAGAGCAGCCTCATTCTGGGATTTAGGCACTTAAATCCTTTTGCAAAGCTAGCTACAAGTGACTTTTTCAAGGTGATACAGGCAGTCTGTCGTGGAGACAGGAATTGCACCCCACTTTCCCACATCTCAAGTGAGTATCCTAACTATTGGACATGCCTTCCTTTTTATTCAGGCTTGCTCAGATTTAGCTGAACGGAGCCTCATCTGAGATTGTTCACATGACTTAGAAGCTAATAAGCTCAGTTTTGGATAAGGAGTCTTGTTACCTCAAAAGTGCTGTACCTTTCCCCCATCACTTGTAGTCATTCAACAGACAGTTTATGGAAACAAATATCAATATGCAAGTTGTTTACAAACTGTACACTTAAACTATACCCTATTTGTAGGGTGTGATCTGTCACTAAGGTCACATGGTATTATTTCTGTTCCTTGACTGGGTGACTGAAACTCTTAAAATTAGAGAATAGCAAATATTGAAAGACAATTAGTGAATACCAAATGTTCTTGTAAATGAATGTATATTTTTATCTGCATACAAACATGAGTGTTTGTCTGAAGAAAAGCCATTCTCCAAAGAGTTGTGAGAACAAAAATCCAGTTCAGATGAATGTTCACGATTACCAGTTAAAATAGGGCACAAACATGGTTGAACCAAAGTGCTTCAGAATTGGAATAGAAGTGCAGTATGCATGAGTCTTCCAGAACTTCCTGGTTTCATCTGGCTTGGGAATCCCATGAGAAGCCACTTGCTAATAGCATTTCAATATTTTTGGCCAAAAAAATTAGTAATACATTTTAAACATTAATCTAGCTGTTTTTGAAAACTCAAAAAAGACTGAGTTTAGTTCAGTTTTTAAGCACAAGTTCAGGTTATTTTTCCCACTGGTTCACCCATATATATTTTCCCCAACAGGATCCATATTAAACTCGTCACCTAATTCCTGATTCATCATGATGCTAAAGCATGTGCCTCACATTAGGCTTGTGAACAGTCTCCATTGAAGTCAAAGGGGCATTCATGTGCTTAAAGTTAAGCATGTGCTTAAGTTCCTTCCTGAATCAGGGCCTGGTAAAACAAACCCAACAGCATATATAAGATCTACTTAGCATAAGACTTTCACAACTTTAATAGATCTGTGTTTCACTGAATTCCACTTTAAATTGATGGGTAGGACGAGGGAAAGAGAAAACTCACTTCTTCTAAAGTATTGTGTTTGGTGCAACTTTTTCTAGGGTTACCATATTTTAAGGGTCCAAAAAGAGGACACTCCAGAGGCCCCGGCCGCACCCCAACTCCGCCCCTTCCCTGTCCCGCCCTGCCCAGCCCCGCCCCAACTCCGCTTTCTAATTTACTATTCGAGAACTAAGGTTTACCTCAGTGCATGTGTACTTATTTACAACAATAGTGAATATGACCCTGAAAGGATACAAATTTGTATCTTAAGGTTAGCAGATAATCTATAAAACATATAGAATTATTTCTCTTTCAGAGTATTTATTTCTATTTTAAGTTTTTATTTCATGTTTTATATTGCAAGCTGTTATGCAAAAATAAACCAAAAAATGACATTTCCAGCTTCAGTCACGCAGATATATTTTTGCTTTTGTTTTTAAAGCAATTTGTAAAGTGTTTTAACTGCTGCCTAATTTAGTAAATGTTTAGCTTAGCAAAATGAAAAAGAAACCAAAGATTATTGTAGAGAAGACAGAAGAATATTGCGTGTTGCCAGACTGTTGATCCTATGCTATTTTGTAATTTATGGCTTTTACCTTTTATAAACTTAAAAAAAAACACCTAAAAAATGAAGGCAACTAGCAACCTCGGCAGTTGGTTTGCTTTAAATGGAGCATTCCATTTCATAGAAATTTGATACAGTACTAAAGCAAAACAATGGTGTTTCTATTTTCTGCCATGTAGATTTTTTTAACGTATACCAGAGCTGTCATATGAGCAGCCTGTTTGCCTGCTCTACAAGAGGTTTTATGTTCCAAAAGGCCCCTGCTCTCTAATAGTGAAAATAAATCAATTTCATCTGCTGGTAGTCTGATTTCTAGGTGGTTGGGCTTTTTTTCCCTTCCTTTGTGGGCCCCTTTCCACAATGCCATATGGCAGCTGAGAGCAGGCTAGGGCAATGATCTGCATTTTCAGCTTCAACAAAAGATTCAGCAGTGTCAAAGAGGCTCATGAATGCATGAGACACATTCATGTACAGATAAGTGCCTCCAGCCCTGTCAGGAAGGACTAAAGAGAAGGCTGATAGACCTGACACTGCTTTAGAGTAAAGAAAGGCAGCAGTTCTCTCTGTGGCTCATCATGCTCCCATCCGCCTCCCCCCTCTTTCTTCCCCTCCCTCCCTTTGGTTCCATGCCAAAATCCCATTAGGTCTATTAATGACATGTGGTTTGAAGTAAAAGCGTGTGGCAGAACAAGAAAGGCACAAGATCGACCATCTTATCTATTCGTTTTTGATACGTGTATCACGAGATAGAAGTATATCAACAGGCGTTGTGTCAGCCATGCTTTAGCAGCTTGGCTATGTGAACAGCAAAGAGAAAAAGGCACAGGGCACTGTGATTGGTTTCTCAGCTGTTCCAATTCATCTCCTTAATTCTTAACCCATGAACAGATGAAATACCTTTTTCTTTAAACTAGCAAAGTCTTCAATACTCATTTTGAATTGCAACTTAAGGTTTATTTTCCCCCCAGAGGTCTGTTCAGTACAGTCCATTGGTTGGTAAAAATAATGTACTGTACATTATTCGGGCACTTTCCTAAGGACTGTCTTAGTTAAACAACAAAAACTTAAAAAAAAAAAAGTAATGAGAGCATTCTAAAGTAATGGTTCAAAACACCAGAGGTTACAGTAGAGTAAAGCACTATGTGGTGGTGCTGCTGCTTTAGAGTATTCTTTTATTGTAGTATCAACGTGGGCTGCTTGCAACAAATGTTGGTATATTTCTTAGCTCTCGTAGTTAAGCTACTTATACACTGTACATTTGACTATATTATAAAACATACTGTTTGCAAAACAAATATTAGTATTCTCAAAAAAGAAAAAAGAAAAACTATTTTAATGTAAAAGATTATCTCGTTTTGGAAGGAACAAAGATGCAAATATTTTCGACATCAAGGCAACACCTAATATTGTTACAAAGTTTTAGAGGTGTAAAAAGTGTGGTAATAGTGGATGGCTATACAACATGCTGTTTTATTCCTTGTGTCTCAGATGAGAGCTGCTGTTTTGTTCACTACAAGGCAAGATACAGTTAAACTTTATATTTTTAAAAAGGCAGCTAGATTTTTTACAAGCTCAATGCTATTTTAAAAAATAATATTAATAATTTAAAAACTTCAGTAAGAAGGTTAAAAAAGCACCTGAATCCACTCCAGTATTATAAGCTGAATGTTCTTTCAACATCTGTACATACATTTATGTCTAATCTCAAATAACTCAGCACATAGCTAATGAATTCAAGTTGTCTCAAGGGCAAAAACATGAAGTTGAATGTTTCTGTTGGATTTAGCTGAGCTGAAAGAGTGGCTCGGTTTGTTGGTCATGGCAACCACTCTTAAAACCCTCAGCTGTCAATTTGAGCAGAACTACAACAGAACAATTCAGCTATTCAACTTTTCCCTTTCTCTTCAGGAACATCTGTTTACATGGCCTATGTCCACTCAACAGGGTGTGGACATTTTATCAGCTACGCAGCAGTGGAGAGCAGCTTTTGGGGCCCAGAAGCCTTTGTCTTTTATGATCTTTAACTTTCATTTTACACACAAGTTTGGGGATTAACTATGGTATAAGATTTTATGCAGTCCATCTTTTGAACTTTTTTTTAAAGTCAAGCTATAGTCAGACTAAGTGTAATATGCCAAGACAGTCTATAGCAAATTAAAATGTACCAAAGCCCTTAGTCTTAAGATGTTTAATGGTTTGTTCAGACAGTCCAAGTACTCACTGTGGTTTGGAATGTAGTCATGTCTTCTTTTTCCTTCGCCAGTTGGCCACATCCCATTACCTTGAGTTTTCTCTTACTTGTGTGCAGCAGTGACACATTCATTGCTGCCTACTTTGCTTTATATATTACAGGGCTGCAAAGTAGCACATTTTGCGGAGTGTCGTGTGTCTGTTTTTCCAGAACTTGCAGAGTAAATTTTGCTGTTTTCCTCCATGACACTGAACAGGATAATTGAGCCCTATTAGTCAGTGTGGGGGGAGGGAAGGCAGGGGAGAATGTGGAATGCAGGCAAAGTTTATCTAAAAGAGGCCTAAGGAAGTCAATAGAAAGACAATGCATTGATCTACCTCGGGCTTTTTTCAATAGCTTTTCTCAACATAGCATATGAATGCTCAAACAATGGCAAGTTTTTGACAATTTGGTTCAATAGTATTCTTTTCTAACATATAAAATTCCAAATCTATCAGTGTCAAAATTATAAAATATATTTCTTCTGGACTTCACATTTTCAGTACTGGCAAAACAAAAGCAAAATGTCACTTCAAACTTTGTAGCATAGAACTACTTTCATTTTGATAAGATATTGTGTTTTGAAGAGTAGTGGTCTCCTATGACTTCAAAAAGACAAAATACATTAAAGTCAAAGAACCAAGTGTGAGTCTCTTTATCTGGGCTCGGAGGCACACTCCGAGCTGCAGTGTAGACATACCCAAGTGACCTTAACTTTTAACTGATAATCTTGGGACTGATGATCCCATGCAGTTACACTGCTTGGACCTTTTTGTATTTTCCGCAATGTCTCAATCTTCATGTCTAGTCCCACAGGGTAAAATACTTCCTGCAAAGCGTAGCAGAATAGCATGAAATATCTAACTTTCTTCTCATTGTTTGCATTAGCTGAGCTAGAGTAAGGTCTTAGCGTGAAGTGACTTGAAAGAGGGGTTCATCACCTGGACTAATAACTGCTTGATCGGAGCTATCTTCAAAAGACTGACATGGGGCGAAAGCACAGGGGGTTGAAGTTTTGGATTAAAAGAACTTTTTCCATATATTTCCTCTCTTCTTAGGCATAATTTCATACACCACGGTAGAAATTGCAAGTTTGGCACCTTAGGTCTGTCTGGCTGTGGCAATTTTTTCCTAGCTAGTAACAGACTCGTTTCTGTTAAAATTCTATTACTTGGAGCTATTCCTCCCATGGATTGTAACAATTCTTCTGAAAACAGATCAGCAGCTTTCAGTATAATCTTACTCTAACTGGAATAAGATCCACTTCTAGTAAATCCTGCAAATGTATGTGACAAGAATAGAAAACACCATTTCATTTCCTGCTTGCCACCCAGACAGGTTGCAATGAGAGTCATTTTGAAGTTTCCTGACTCCAGACTCATTGTTAATTGCTGGCTCTTAGTGAAAGAATGTGGTTAATGTTAAACATTTTTTTTTCCACAACAGCTTTTGATATTAAGCAGAAACAGTAGGGTAAGGGTCATTCCTCAGATGTTTAGCTGACAAATAAAAGGAAGAAAGTGCAGAGTAAACAGAGGATCTTAACAGATTAATTAAAAAGGCAATTTTGTTAGCTTTGATGTTTACAAAACAGACATTTTAGATAAATTAAAACCAGGATATGCACTATACATATTGTGAACAAACTTGAAAAGTTACATCTATCCTGTATAGAGATGAGAAAATAATTGATTTCATGAATTTGGTCTCCATGGCGCCTTTTTACTTGGAGTTTGTTGCGCATGGATAGAGTCAAAAGGATTCCACTCAGGTACAGCTTTCTCCCAATATTCAACATATTGCAGGATCGGGTCCTTATTCTGCCAGTGGAAAATTTGCAACATTTTCAGTTTCCTTGAATGTGGACAATGAAGTTTTGCAAGCATTTTTTAATCTATGGAGTGATTGCAAAACATTCATCTGATATTCAGTATTAATATTTGAACTGCATTTATTAGATGTGATTGGTCACAAGTTTAGGTGGGTTTTGCTTCTATTTTTGGCCTGATGAGTGACATTTATAATCATAGGAGGACAGAGAGAAGTAACTGGTGCAGGTAATAGTTTAGCAGTTCTAGGAAATCTTAGAATATATTAAATGTTTCGTTTCAAAGCCAGGGAGAACTCACCGGATGAGTCATTACTAGAAAAAATGAACTACTGTAAAATATATTGTGTGCTGAGTTTAACTGTAATATTCTCTGATCTTTCACACACAATAACTGCATGTGAAGACAGTGCAGGCACTGTCCTGATTATAATGGGGACTGTGACATTCTTGTCTGGCTTGTTTAATTTCTTCTGGGCCTGGGTCAGCTGAAGGGCTGTTGGAAGCAGTAGCCCCTCTCATGTAAAACATACCGATTTTGTTGGCATGTGAGATTAAAACTTACGTATTTGTATGAGCAAAACTCAGTCTCTGTCACTCAGATGTACAAAGAAAGAGTGGTAGGGAGAGGAGGCACAAGCACAGCTACAAAAAAATCATTTTGAAATGAAATGCACATGAATATTGGCTGAAATATATATAATATAATATAATATAATTTTTGCAGTCGTGAATTGTGTTTAGAAGGGATGAGTGCCCCGTTT